ATGTTTCGGCCGATCGGCGCATCCATGGTTTCTTTTCTCCCTGCTGGGCGCTGTTCCAGTGGGGAGAAAAGAAAGTGACAGCCGAGCGCTGCGGTGGAGAGCGCTGTGAGCGGCCGGCGTCTCCTCCCACACAGCTCTGCCGCCTATCACAGTCCGGCAGAGCGGTGTGTGGGCGGAGACATCGCTGTCACAGGAGGCTGGGCTTTCCTGTCTACACCGCTCGATCAGCCTCCTGTGACAGCTGTCGGGAAGGAGAGCGGGTACAAGCAGTCAGGGATCAGTGATCGCTGAGTGTTTGTAGATAATTGAGGACATAGTATGTTAACTATATCCTCAATTATGAATGTATGGGAAGTGATCTACATCCCCTCCTGTACATTCATAATTGTAGTTATAGTAAACAAACAATGTCCTCATGTTATCAATGAACAGGAACACTCATAGAGGATTCCTCTTCATTGATAACAGGGGACACAGAAAAAGAGATTGAGGACTCTGTGTTCTCAATCTCTTTTTCTATTTTAAAAGGGGAATATCAGGGGTCTGTTTAGACCCCTAATATTTCCCCAAAGCCCCCAAAAGTAAAGTAAAAATATTTAATAAAAAATGAATGAATCAATTAAAAAAAATATAAAAAGTTTATCAAAAATAAACAAAAATAAAATATTAAAAAAATTTGAAAAAAAAAATAAACATTTTCGGTTTCGGCCTGACATTTTTTTAAATTTCGGTTTCTAAAATTTCCATTTCGGTGCACCTCTAATAATAATGTGTTTGAGGAGGAGGAGGATTGCGAGTTTACTCTCCTTCTCCTTATTTTTCCTTTGTCTCTGTTCTGAGATGCCTGTAGGTTTCCCCAACGACCTTTCTTCTTTCTGGAACTTGACGTACGTTCACGGTTATATCTTTGCCTCCCTAACTGAGGCAACGAGCCTATGCATTCCAATTTCACACGCCTGACCATTTTCTCTCTTATTATATACATCAACTATCTGGTGCCGAGCTGAAACAAAATATCAAATCAACTGTGAACAATAATATACAACATATGCAATGAAATTATGAGGCTCTAATTAGCCCCGAATGAAGTGGTGAAAAAAAACACAACACTATATCCTAGAAATGTCAAATATAGTTCAAATCCAGTGAAAAAAACATTTCAAAAACGGAATCCAAGTGCTGAGAAATATTATCCCAAATGCGGTGACAATAATCGGCTTGAGAAGTGATCATCAATCAGGAAAGATGCCGTGCAGACCACAACCCAAAAGGATGATCCAATGCACACCCGGTGAGAAATACAGGGGGGTGCTCACCTGAGGAACTGACCAATAGGGATGGGCTCGGGCGTGTTCGCAGCTCCAGCGTTCGCAGCTCCAGCGTTCGCAGCGTGTTCGAGGAAGCTGACAGCGCCAATCACAGGTACTGAGACATTTTCCCGGTCCGCAGATGCAGCGATCGGGAAATGTCTCAGTGCCTGTGATTGGCTTCCTGGCGGGATCGGCACGTGGAGCTGCGAACTCGCCCGAGCCCATTCTTACTGGCCAATACGTTAGGTCACTAAATGCCTTTCCCTTCTTAATGGGGAGGAACACCCTTACGACGATCGCTCCAGATCCAGTTGATGCAAACCCAGGTACAAAAGTAAATCCGAAAAGAGACAAGCGGCAACTCCTGGCGTGTGTAGTGTAGTGTATACAGGCCAGGTTCCTCAATGCGCCCCCCTACTTGCCAAATGGCAGACCTGCAGGCTGCATACAAGTGATCTCTGCGACATCGCCAAGATCACTTGTACAAACAAGTGGTGGCTTCCCCGCTCTGCGTGCCCAAAGCAGGACTAAATATAGAAAACTACTACCCGACCAGCGCCTGGAACTGCATGACCCGGGCATCGGGAGATAGGACATCCACATCCCTGCTGCCCCTCTACTCCTTGCTGCCCCGAGGCCGGGCCTTGGTGGGCCTTGTGGGAAATCCAGGCCTGAGTATATAATGGTCCAGTTCAGCTAAAGGAGAGAGAGGAGCAATGACCGGTCTTTATTACAGGAGGGGGGCGGAGACCAGACCAGTCACCCTGCACAAGAGAGAGCAGCAGTGAGCAGTCTTTTTTGCAGTGAGCAGTCTTTATTACAGGAGGGGGGCGGAGACCAGACCAGTCACCCTGCACAAGGACAGAGAGCAACAATGAGCGGTCTTTATTACAGGAAGCTTCAAGTGTCACACTGGATAACTGGAAGAAATACACAAAGCTCCCTAAGGAAGAATACACAAGACTCTTGTATGAGGACAATATTTTCTGATCCCGGAGTTCAGCTTTAAAAGATGCGGCGATGGAATTCATTACTCTACCTTTTCTGTTTTATTTTGATTTACAGATTCTCATTCTGAAGGAATAAAAAAAAAAAAAGCCTTGCCGTAGGAGAGAAAAATACAGTGTATAAAAAATGTGCAGCATCAAATATAGATCACACGCCCCCGGCCGCTCATTCCGGCTCCACAATAAATTTGTTCATTTATAAATCTCATCATCGCCCGCTCCCCCATCCCCCGGGGAGGTGAGAGGGAGAGAAAAAGGTTCCTCCATGAGATTGAGAAAAGTGAGAAATGCCGGGCGGGCTGTAAATGGCGATTCATTTATCTGGGAGAAATGTCTTCTGTCACAGGTAGGATCCGAGAATTCCAATATCCCGCTCTTCAAATCCGCAAACGACCCCTCCCGGGAAAATGCCATCTGCCGTGTAGAGGAAGTGCCAGCTGCGGTGCCAGCACATTACTCATGGCACGCTGTGGAATGATCTCAGGACGGGAAGAAGGGTACAGATAAAACTAAAGCACAAAGGTTTCTAGTGTATCGGAAGCTACATCCACCACCAGGCAGTGGCGTCGCAACGGGGGGTGCGGCCCGCAACAGGGTGACACCATTGGAGGGGTGACACCAAAATGACGGACAGTAATTTTGGTGTCAGCCCCCTCTGAAAAGTCGGGCGCTCGGTCATGGACCCGAGC